AAAATGTCGTGAGTAACGTCTGAATTTACTTGAATGACAATGTCGACTGCGCAAAAAGCCACACCGCGGTACAGGTTTACAACCAAACAGAGGGCAATCAATGATTAAAAGCTTTGATATTCGGCAGACTATGCGCCTGTAGAGAGAGGTCGACAAGATCATTACTATGGACGTGCGTTTACACAGCAGAGAATTAAGATTATATTACTGAATTTGCTTAACAGTGGAGAATTACCACCGTCATTTGAATGGACGAATTCACATCGGACTGTGAGAGCCGCATAAATTTGCATACGCTTATCAATCCGGACAGCTCCGCGCTTGGTGAAATCACAGAGTGGTAAGCCACTGCATTAGCAAATTAGATATGACCACTGAGATTATTTGAGCGTACACACGAGCCACATGCTCGAGCTGCGACCGCTCTCTCCTTCAATATGCTGCAGAACCTGGGGCGTCTTATAAGGGTTCCATCAACTGCATCCGCCAAATTCCTTCACTGTTTCTCTCCACGTCGACAACAATCCCGCGAAAATAAAAAAAAAGCCCCGCAAAGGAAAAAGGGCTGGGAGAGAGGGATGGGGGAAGAGAGAAAAATATCAATAAGCTCGGCAATCGTTATTGCAATTTTCCATGAAGGAATTTAAGGCAAACGGGTTTGTGGACCTGTAGGCCGTGACAGGGGTCACCTGACCCAACCGTCCTCCGGGCTAACACCGGGTGTTGTGTTCCACCGCCCGCGCTAGGACCCGGGTTTATTTTCGTACATTTACGGAGGCCATTCCAATAACGCGTTTCCAATCAGGGATATTGCACGTCCAACGAAGTAAAGCTCTCTCTTTTCCCCCCAACTCTACCCCTCTCGGTTCGACCGTGCTCCCCACTTTTAATGCGCATGAATTTTTTCCTTCCTTTATTTTTTTCTTTTTACATGGTGAGGAGAGCTCGCGGGTAGCCAAACTTAATGGAGATCATTTACCGCGGAGAACTAGCGCCGAGTATTATTCTACCATCCCGGGGGTGGAAAGTTTGCACGGGCTGAGATTGTTGAAATGAGAGTGCATTGTGACTGAGAAGAATGGGCGTAAGCATCGCCAACAGTATAAGGCTATGAGTGAATCTCAACGTGGCTTACAATTAATTTCTGAGCCAACTTGGCAGTAAAACAAGCAAATATCAAAGACTTCTTACTCAGAAATATATGACCTGTTCACAACACCACTAGATCTAATTCACTTTTTCTTAGCATTTAAATGTTTTAACACATTCTCTTTACAACTCTTCTGTTGAAAATGAAACAAAAAATGTATCCCAAATTTTCTTTTAACTTTCTCCAGCAATGAAGTTGAATTAACCAAAAAATTAAACTCTATATAATGAAACTGACAGAACTATGTGAGGGCCACACCTGGTATCCTCCATAATTACCAGTGAACTAAACGCTCAGTGTCAACGAAACCGACAGCTGCTGATATGGGCTAAGCAAACAACACTTTTTTTGCCTAACTGGTTAATCGACTTTTGCATCAGCCCAATTTTTAAATGGAGACCGGGCCTCCGATAAAGCTTCACACGTGAAAGGCCGGGGCTACACAGAATGCTGAACAAATTTACCCGGGCCGGATCATTGGAGGGTTCTCGTTTCGCTCCGGAGTCCTGGCAGTGTGCGGCTGGCAATTATTAAAAAAGCTGGGTCCCTCGTCCGGCGATTCTACAGCAGCGCGTCATTAAGAGGAGAACTCGGAACAAACCCGGAATAACAAGGCGATATTTGCTCTTCACAAGCACGTACGGCCTGTCAGTCTCAATTCGAGTCGCTCTTAAACTACGGAAGTGTTTTCCTTCTTCCTTTTCTCTTCTTCGTCTGCTTGCTCTAACGGCGTATCTTCGACAGGCAACCACACCGTTGGAGAAAGGTTGGGGGGTTAAATTGCTTTGATGAGAAATAAACAAATAATGAACGCTCGTGCGTCTTAAAGGTCAATATAGGTCGGGTTGTTTTTACTTCAAAATTTGATGGTAGAGAGGACGCCTGACGTAAATACAAGACTAGTTTTCTTTTCAGGGTCATTTTTCCATTTACTAACATCACACAGCACTTCGCCAGAGGTTTGATTGTATAGAAGGCACGTGAAAATAACACAAGCTATAAAACAAGACTTGCCATTACCACGCCAGCGTATCATAACTTATGGTTCGACCGTCCTTCGTTGTGCACGCAGACCTGGGGCTGTACATGTACGTTATGTCGACAGGCATCGGTATCTCAATCAGAAGGTCCACTCACTAGGTAGGACTTGGCCAGTCTATAGTAATTAGATCAGTAACCCTGATATCTGCTAACGCTGTATGAAAATAATCTGAACCACGCTGAGTACAACGCTCATGTAAATAGATATTCGGTCATCAAACATTCTCAAGTGTAAATAGCGCGTCTCCCCTCGCCAAAAGTACAATGCCTCGTATCTGCGTATATATACACACTCGGCCGAAATGACCGCGCAAGAATAACCGGGAGATCCTTTCTGTAGAATCTCGAGTTTTTAGATCAACAACATTCGCATTAAATGTGACCGCGCCAGGCCTGAATTGTGCTAGAACTAACAACACGTTCGGCCGGGCGGAGCCAACGACAATTTAATTCTGCCAATATATTCCCACTTACAACTGGGCAAACACGCTGCCCATATAAATATCACGAGCCTCGATTTGATTAGGGGCCACTTGACAAACTCTCCCCCCCCCTTTTTTTCTGCTTGTTTCTGACCCCCAGGGTGCATTACATATCGTTCAGTTCTCCACCACTCAGAGTGCGTGTAAATCATCTTTCTATCAAGACAAACCCACCCAATCAATTATGTTCTAATTGCTTGGCCACATTTAGTGTTATTTTCAGATTTCTGTTCTCCTCTCACGATTCGCGACCATTCACACGGGCAACGCGTTGATGCGATTCCCTTGTCTCGAGCTAGGTCTAGGTCTTCGCTCCATTGGAAATGCGTGGAGACGCGTAGACAATAGACCTAGCCTTAGCTCTGGAAGCCCGTTTTGGACACGACCTTAGCCCTTATTTTGACAGTATTTATACCCGCGCGCAGAGAGAAAAGATCGATCACTCAAGTCAAGTGACATCACGAGAATGGCAAGTCATGTGGTATTTGTGTCACGTGCTGAGTTCCACTCACTCGCCGAAGCATGTAAACGCCTTGCACTGTGTTTCAGAGACATGCAGTTTCCTTCGCCCCTGCCCATGAACTGTGAACACATCCGATAATTTAATTCAGTTATTCACATCTTTGGAGAGGGGAAAAAATCCAACTGCTTGACGAACGAGCACCCTTAACCCCATGGGGTGTGGACAGCGGGACAACTTCCTGGCAGTTGAACGTGAACTACTTACGAAACGCACACGACTTCCACTGAACCACGAGGTCTTGAAAAAGCAAACAGAATCGGTCCAAACACGACGTTATTCGGATAAGGGTCTGTGGGCAGGCATCGCAATATCTTACAAAACAACAGAAGTTATCGTAACTTAGTAAAACAATACATTTCACACGTACCTACATGTATTAGTATTACCCATGACAAGATATACAAAGGGGCATGCAAAATGCGACAAAAAACTCGTTAATTGCAATGAGAGTTTCTGAACTAATTAGGACTGCCTAAAATACCCCATTTAATTAACCTGAACTTAGCCAAATCACGCTGTTATTGAAAACATTAATTTAGTCTTTCGCATGACGCCAAGCAAGACCAGTATAGTATACATGTATGTGGTCCCATGTCATGGACGTGTTTTAACAGCCGTTGTGAATACGCGCCAACACTAAATGAAATCCTATAGCGGTATAGAGTAACAAGACGACACAGTACCGCAACACCTTAGCACCTTCATACAGCGAATGGCGCCTACACAAATTGTCTGCCGCACCTGTAGGTGATGCAAAGGAATGTTTGCATCGACACATCCAATCTTATTAATATATATACATGAATTAATTCTCTTCTGACAGGTTTTGTTTCAGTGAGGTGATGCGGCGATGATTACAAGAATGTGACAAGCATGAATAATTAAAATTCCCGTCGGCAAAATGTGGAGAAAACGTTCATCTAAATCTATTCGAGAACGAGCACACAAATGCCAACCTAGACGTGCATGCCTCAAGGAAGTCTAGTTTCCTTCAAGATCTACGGCAGTCGAAATTCAAACAATCCTAAAGTTCCTTTGAGTCACCACAAAAAAGCAGCCCCCCTAAACAGAAACCGACATTTCAAATGATAATGCTGCATTATTCCAATGTACGACAGCGACAGCTGTGAAGTCGGTCATTTAGCTGTCGAAATATCTCGATGGCACACTCGACAATGTCACTGTCACTAATGGAAATTTTCACGTTTCGCCTGAATTCCTGTACTTTTTACCACCACCTTTGGCTGTTTATTGAATACCGCGACCAATCATCAGACGCTATCCCCTCTCGAGTCGCAACTACAAAGCTCGGCCAAGTCGAGCGCGAATCATTTACGATGAGAGAAAATCTCACCATCAATACTGCAAGTTTAAAAATTAAACAATTTAATAATATAATGTTCTAACATTATTACTGTTACACAGAGTACATCAACATGAACACGTCCAAGCATCGTTTTTATACACATTACAAATTCTCATAAAAAAAAAATGGTGAAAATGTCCAACTAAACTCAAGGCTACAAAGACAATGCGTTACAGCACTCGCAAGGCGAAGTTATGAGGGAAAAAACTGCGAAGTAAAGACGAACCATACGACAACTCTTTGAACTTAAGTGGCAAATTACCAATAAAGTTCTGTCACAACACAGGACAAATCTGCGCAGGTGTGTCTGGATTCCAGACAAATTTAAATCACAGGCTTTAAAAGCTTCACCACTGATTAACATTGACTCCAAGAACCTGCGGTTACTTGAAAAACAGAACACACACTTTCTGAATATACAACGAAGTGGTTACATACCTCGGTCGGCGAGACAAACGCTACCGCAGCATACCACGTAGATAGCACAGACAACGGCCCACAACGTGGTCACATTGCCTCCGACGACTCCGGACATGCCACTTCTACCAACAAGTTTCAACACTCGGCCTCCCATAGTGCTGAATACCGTCGATTCCTTCGGCACACAAAATCACGATAATAACCAATGTTCCCAGAGCCAGGTCGACAGTAATTCCTCTCCTTTAGTCTCTGTGTATCTCACTCCTGCAGAAACTGCTTGGAGTCCCACATTGTCATGGACCTTTCTGCGTTGTATGAATCTCAAAATGTGTTACTCTCCGTCAGAGGAACAGAGCACTATATAGGCGAAGACAAACTACAGAGTGCATGCCAGTTCTCTGAATGAACTACATGGGCCATTTACCAAGATGTGCACTGTGCACACCTGGTTCTTTATTCTGCCGAGTGAATGTGCGAAGACTGAAGAGTTCGTCGGCGTAACTTACATTCAATTTTTTCCTCCTTTGATAGACGGCTGGATCGATTCCGTGGATATACAACGCTCCACTTGCCACAAAAGGGTCGTGTTTGGGGTCAGCCCGCCAGCACAGATGAAGTCTCCATTGTCCGATGCTTAAGTTTCTTTATTTGGACTTCGTCTGCGAGCTCGGGATTACACCGCCCCGTTCACCCACAGTGGTCATAAAAGTGTAGGGTACTTACTGTACACAACAGACGTGCATACCACAGCGCTATGCCAATACATTCTCATCTACATGTACACTAACACTCCAGCCTAGCCTAGCCCCACACGCAAGCAAGTCTCATTATGCTTCATGTGATCACGCTGAACGTCTTTTCCGAACGAGAGGGCGCAATGTTTGCGAACTGGAAGCTGGGTTTTTGTGTAGCTTCAACAACGTACAGTTCATGTCAAGTACGCCGCACATTGTCGAATCTTTGTACATGTATTTTGTTACTGTCAGAATGATAGCGCGATGTTACAACACTTGCTGATTAATCAAAAGTTTGTACTACTAATGTCACACAGACATAAGGCCTCTCAAGAAGTGAGTTTTGGGTGGGTAGTCTTGATTTATTTGCTTTTAAACTTTTTTACTTTGTTCTAATTAACCGATTAAACTCACTGACTATTCTGTAATTGCAAAAGTCTACTGATAGTGAGACCATTCTGCATTCCTTCGATCAAATATAACTTCTCTCAAAATCATAGACTGAGTTTTGTACAAGCATGGAGGAAGAAGGTCCCCTCCTTCCTCCATGGTACAAGTAATTAAGAATTTAACAAAATCGAACTTAGAAAGTTAATGGGCTGTCTATGCATTTTATCTTTTATTGCTAAAACTTAAGTCAATTTTATTTTATATTTCAAAGTTCTCTAATTAGGTTATTTTAATGTGAAATTCTCAGTCTCATTTCTTTGCTGATTGGACTCAGCATTTCGTCCCACCATGTTTATGATGTCTTCCAAGTTCCAGCAGTTCTTGATAAATTCACGAGCCTTTTCTCATAATCTCTTTAGAAACCAGATACTAAGTTGCCGATAATAAAAATGACTCATGTTTAAAATCCTTAAAAATGAATCATGATAATTCACGGAGAAACAGTCATCATCTACACCGATGAATCGACCAAAGAAAAATGTCCAAGGTCTTTCACTAGTACAAGCGTGACTGGCTATCATATGGCTGAACGTTACAGTGTTACGCAACAGAAAGGCAGATCTGAGTTTAACGGGTGGTCGCGTATTGTGAAAGCTAAGCGCCCAGTCCTCAGTCTTGTTTACGTCACCCATACCTCCTTTTCAGTAACCAATGATAATCGGATTACGTATTTTGTCCACGTCGGTGGGTCATAACTGTTGCTTGTGGGTTAATGAAATTTACAGAACGAGGATGACTGGTTAGTTTGTGTAGTTAGGGCCAAAAGGTAGAGTGGAGTTATTACCTCCCATTGTCTGAGACAAAGACATTTGTCATCGGCATCTGAATTAAGAAAGGGTTGAGCTCGTAAGTTTGGTTTCCAATTTAAAACTTAAGGAATAATATTTCTATTCGTATCCTTGCAAGTTGCATGTGTAAGTACTTGTATAACGTTAAAGTTAGGTTCAGGAAATTCAAGCAAGTTGCTGGTATGCTGTGCATGAATTCAACAACGAAACGAATGTAAGCACGCATGTACAATGTAGCGCTAATTTCTGGAATCAAAAATGTTTGAATTTCTGTTGAAAACAAGAACGTTCATTGAACAACCGCTTGACTATACACGATTTTTCCGTTCCATCAGCAAGTATGCTGCTTGTCTCGGGGGCTTTCCGATTCGTGCCTACCGTAGATGGGCCGTTGTTTTAGTAAGCGCTGCTCGTGCTGGATGCATCCAGGGGCTTGATAGCCGTTTCAGACCGCGGACATCGATCTGTTAGCCTCTGCCTACAAATCAAGCCGTCGCCACATTCCTCGCTGCATTGTTTAGCCGCCTCTTCAATACTGATCCCTCTTCGGGTTTGCTTGACCAATCACTTTCGTTTCTCTTATTTGGAGAGATTTGGGTCAGAACGTTTGCAGATCACGCTTCAAATCCACAACTGACAGTGAAACTGGAAAACACCCACGGCAAGTTTCTTTTAAGATAAAGGATCCTATTTTTTTCTCAATAAATTTTGTTTTTAATAAGCATTAGTCAGGGTTGAAAAATGATATTTTACACATTTCACAGTTCTTTGGACATTAACAGTAACATGTTCTTTTTGTAGGAATTTTATGTTTGGCGCTGATCATTTCAATTGAACTGTGCTTTCAGTTCAGATGCAAAAAACAATGCTCTAAAGATTAATATTTACAGGTTAGCATTAGCAAGGAGGTTACCAGTCAACAGTTTACCAGTGGTGGTCATTGCTTAATTATGAGCTACCCCCCCCAAAGAAATTGTTTAGCAATTTATTATGCTTAAAGCGTTCGGGGAATTAGGTCCACGAGTGCGCTGGCCTTTTTCGAGACGGCCAAACAAAGGCCGGCCGGGGCCATGTGACCCGCGCGTAGAGCCCGTTGTCGCAGCTGCAGAGTCTCGCTACGTAATGATCATCCCTTGTTAAGAGCGCTCAGAAGACAGGGGATGAAGGGACTCTAACGAGCTTAAGCCGGAACTGATCCCTAACGAGTCCTCAGGGGGAATCTATCTGATACCAGATATTGCAGACGTATTGATTGGTCTTACATTGTGTCTCGGCCGTACTATTTGGACTCGAGGACTTCCAATTGTCTCCCAAAATCTACATAATCCTACGAGATAATTTGCTGACAGTTCCGCTGCCATAATTGCCAAACAACCAAATTAAAGGTCGCTATTTACACAGTGCCAATGGAATGGTCTCATCTTGATTTGGTCTTGGCTGAGATGTACTGCAAATGGAGTCCTTGGAGGCTTTGTGTGGTAGCCATCTTGGAAGGCAGTGGTTGGGGCCTGTTTGTTTCTGGACGCAATCAGCGTTCCCAAAGCTGGTTCCCACTATCCAATGGAGTCAGTGGACCAATATCGATTCACTTTTTGCGATCCGTATCCGCATGATCCACAGGAAACATCATTTGTGCATACCCTGTGGAACAAAAGCACTGACCTGCAAAATGGCAGCCATGCAAACCGTCTATTAAGTTAGTCGCTGTACATCTGCTGCCGGGCCCACGCGTCATGCATGAAGCTTTATTTGAAATCACTGGCCTTGACACGTACTTTTTTAACACCAGCTAGCATCACGTTTCAGGCATTACTGATGGCTTCCCGAGCGTGTAGTAAAAATGATACACTTCTTCTGTCTGAAAGCAAGACATAATATTTGGCGATGGAGGGACTGGACCCCAGCAAGTAATACGTACAGAATCAGGAACTGAATTTGCACTGAGAAGAGTTTGCCTTAGGATTTGTAGCTTTGGTTATTTTACTGGATAGATTGCAAGAAATAAATCATCCGCTCTTCGGACAGCTCCAAACATGATGCATTCGGACAAATTTCTTTTGTTTCTTGGTTCTTGCTCTTTATTAATGCTCTAATGGTCCAGTAATTGCTCGGTCATTTCATACACTTAAAGGCAATAATTTCTTAACATTTATCATGGTGGCAACAATGGAAACAGTAGTTATTAGAAGCGCCACTACCATCTGGGCGCATGGTTTAGAAAAGTCCCTTCCTTTACATAAAATTAATACCCAGGGAAAAGAATTTCACCAAAAGCGCAGGGCGCCCTCGACGATAGCAAACGGGTACTTTATAGAGGGCGGGATAACCATTTCTCGTTTCTCGCTACCTGTTTAACGTGCTCTTAGCAGGACCAAGCAACAGGCCTAGGGGACCCGATTTGTAGTGTAACCTAAGGTTAGTGGTATTGGGACTCTGCAGGTGGTTGAGTGCTACAAAACTTGAAGTGTGAAAAGGAAGCTGACGAGAAAACCAGAAAATAAAACTTTAAAAGTGAAAAAATTCATGCCCCTAATACAGCTGGCTCTAACTAGTAGATTTAAATCCATGTACGAACTCTATCCATTGTGTTTTCACACAAGACGTCAATACACCTTACACAGTTATTTTATGACACAAAATGTTCAAATAGGTATTTACCATCAAGATTCGCCAACGTCTGTCCCACCCATCCCGTGTCGGATCACTGCGTTGAGGATGAAGATGTTGTTTCTGTCTCTTGCCTGTTGAAAGAGAGCCTACATGCCCAGAACTGTCCACTCTTTCCTTTGCTGTTTTTCTCTTCATCTAATCTTAAAATGTTTAAAATTAACTGCAGGGTGTATGGTGGGCTACGTAAAGAACACCACCTGGGTCTTTCGATAGCTAACACATGGAAGTGACTCATTGCCTTGCAAAAAATGAGGAAGTTGTCCGAACAGCAACCGTAGTATTGTCTGTCTGCAAAGCGGCGATAAAACTGTCCCACGCAGCACGCCATGCGGCTGTGTCACGTTTACAAAGGAATGCGACAGAAGGCCTAAAATTCCAACAATGCCAAACACGCCCATGCAGAATGCAGTCTCAGCGTCCGACTGACCTGCAGGCTAGGGCTTGAATTAATACGTGTATCTTATGAAAGCCTCAGATTCGCAGTCTCAGCCATTTCTCACAGACCTGTTTGTGAATCATAGCCGCAGCCAAATTTTTTAACATTGTGGCAGAGTAAGCTTACTGGAGGAGCTGTGATAAATCAAGTGAGGGCGCTGCAAGGATTTTTTTAAAATTGCGGAGGACGCCTTTGTTATACCACTTGCAAATAACAACTCGTGCTGAGCTACATCGTATCCAGAAAGGTATATCACGCATATATACATATATATAGTGAATAATATTGTGAGACCAGTTTGTTGGAATAACATCACCTATCACAGAAAGACAGATTTGCGGCGTTTGCAGTCCTTAATCCGTCGGTTCATTTCCGCAAAATAAATGCGACTACGATTACCACATTATGTATTGCTATCCATAGGTCAATAAGTTGCGCGCATTTCCTGTCCATGCAAATCATCTCACGTCCGTTTCAGTGTTTCCTTTTCCAAAGGCCAGCACAAGGAGAATAAAAACAAGGATTCAAAAATCTCGGTTTCATTGACGTGTGTCTGTGCGTCACTCAGGCTAGGGTAAGCAACTGTACAGCCAAGAATTGGCTGCCATCGACAACTTTTGCTTTCGCAGTCATCCAGAATTTATTCTGATGAACAAAACCTGCGCGTCAAACACTGAATGAATGACACCATTCTGCTAACGTTGGTTTGAAGAGAATATTACGTTTAATGCGATCATTTCTGTTGGAAAGAGGAACAGAACTCCTCAATGTTTTTATAATTTGTTGACTACCATTAAGAAGTAAAATATAATAGCCTTGATTAACCTGGACTTGACAGTGTTAAACTGATCGTTAGAGAGTTTGGAGTGCAGTATTCGGTGAACACAGTTGTCCTTGTGGCGTTGTTGGTCAGGTGTTCTTTGATTAGCTGTGTCCAGCACCCAAGCGTTTGATGTATGCGGCATTTCTGCCGAGTTTTGTCGGATCAAGATGCATCTTCCAAATTGGGTGGTTGTCTGGATGTCATACCTGGTCCTGTTTGTTTCTGTGATTGTGTGCATTGCCATTCCCAGGACCGAAATGGTAAATAAAGATGGTAAGTTACTGAAAGACGTTTGTTATTTTCAGTAAAACTGTAATCTTGAGTTGCTGATCAGAAAAAGTATTCATTAAAGGTTCCAGAACCAAATTGTTTTAGGTTGGCCATTTTTTTTGGGGGGGGGTTGTTGGGGGGGTTAATTTCAACATTTCTTGATATAAATCCCTTCGTGGCATTTGTGGATAACACAACCAAATTTGGGGCTCCCTGCACGCTATCATAGGAGAAGGGGAAGCGAATATAATCTTCAACAATCGTTTTTTGGGGGAGGGGGTGGGGATAACTCCCATGCCCCTTACCTGCCAGTGTTCGCGTTAGTGTTGTTATGGCTGCTGCTGGAGGTCTTGATTGGTGCCGTTGACGTTTCTAATGATTAATTTTTCTCGTTAGTGTTGGTTTTCTTCTTGCTTTGTCTTCTGTCGTGGTTACTTTATATTTGAATTACTGATCTGGGGGCGCAGGAGACTTCCTTGCGTGTTTAATGAATTTTCTTTCAATTTTTTTTTCTCTCAATGTTTCCAGACACCTCTTTAGATTACAGCCAGGAAGATTACAGTAATGTTGATCACTTCCAAAAAGAATTAGCTAAGAGATTGTTCCGTAGTCGCTCCCGACTTGGATTCGGCTTTGGTGGAGGTCGTTTTGGAAACAGCACGTCAGGTAGAGAGGCTTGGACGATCAAAATTTACGGATCATTATTGTCAAGCGCAATTACAAATGATTCAACTCAGTTGTCAGCTGTTTGGGATGAAATGTGACAAGGGCGTATCAAGAACCAAATTTAGGGAGGGGTAGAATTTTTGGCGGACGGGGGCAAGAAATTTGGGATGTCTTATTGGAATTTATTTATTTATTATATTCTTATGGAATTTATCATGGCCTCCGAATTGGGCAGAGGGTTGAGGCAGAATTTTGGCTCTCTTTCTTTTTAAACGAAGGTGGAAAATTCCACAAAAGATCATACAAATATTTTTAGCAGCTAGTTGAAAGTGTTCAGATTTTTAATGCAAATTTTTTGGTTCCCATGCACAGGGAAAATACCTGAAGCAGCGATGAAGTGTATGATAGGCATTTCGGTGTCGGCCGCAGGTTTCCTCGCTTCAATGCTCCTGCTTTCTTTTCGAAAAAAATTTAAGAGGTGGGTGAAATGATGTCCGTCGTGCAACTCACCATCAGCTGCGAAGTCCCAGGCAATGGGCAGGTTTGGCATTCTGCGCATGCCCACAATTAAGGGCGTCTGAGGTCATTCGGGAAGGGCTATTCTGCGCAGGTGAAGTGTGCCCTATCAGCACTGCCATATGCCGACTCAAAGTGTACTTCGTTCCCGAATGACCTTTCTTTTTTGAAAGACCGAGCTGACTCGCAACCAAAAACCGATATTTGGTGTTCAAATTCTTACGTAAAGAATCTCTGTGTCCTAATTGCGTCCTTGTATTAAAGCACAGACAATGACCAAAATTATGGGAACGTGATTTGTGTGAGAATCTTTGTCCAGAAATCAAACCCTCCACGTTATGGAGGCCTTTGAGGAACTCCCTAATCCGTTTGGCACGTGAAGGTATTAACCGTTTCAGGATTTATTGGGCAATTTGATAATAAAGGTTCATACAAAAAGACTAACAAAGTTTGGCTGGCTTAGGTTATGTCATCTTAGACTTCTAGGCATCAATGTTAACTGTACACGAGTGAAGGGGAATGTCTCCCTAAGGCATCGATTCGGGGTAATTACTTCAGGTTGTATTGCTGATTGACACTTTTTAATTATAAAGCAATTGACTTGACCTTTCTAACATTATTTTGGCTAGCAAGCTGGTATGTTGATGATTTCTTGCTCAATGATTTCGACGCAGGTATTGCAACAGAACTTACCGTTATCTCTACAAGCGCTGGGCTGACAGATACGAGTTGGACCGTCAGGGGATCATGGAAGACTTGGACGACGACCACCTTTCATCATCTGGACAAGTTGTCGTAGATCGTGTCGTCTTCCAGGCGGGCAAGTCCACACGTCGGAACAGCACCGGCGGCACGAAGCAAGACTACACGGCCGTGCCACCCGATTCACCGGTAAAGACCGTGCCGTCCTCAGTAGCGGAAACGGTCTGCCCTCTCACTCTATCAGGCCCACAAAGAAACCCGAAAGTCCCTTAAGTCCTCACAAGCAGATAGAGGGAACTGTCGGCTCGCAGAAATCTGATTATGATGGCTAAATGTTGTTTTTCAAAAGTTTTAGACCTACATGTACCCTCTGAATAGTTATTATGGTTGCGCCTGACCGCGAGATAGCAGTTTGCTTGCGTAATTGCAATGAAAAACAAAGGTGGTTGGAGGAAAATAGTCTCGTGATCTCTGAGGAAGGTTCTACACATACATTTAAGAGGCAACCTAGCTCTTATTGATACTTAAATATAAAGACAGTACCCTTACCCCGGTACCCTTATCGGCTATCTAGATTACTGCGGGTACCATGATATGGCCTTTTGGGGAATACACCTGCATAAACGCTGCTTTTCGCTATTGAGATTGTCGGCCCGGGGCTTGTTTGTCTTCCAGTATGAATCTATACTTTAAGTCTGTACTACAAATGTTAAACGAAAATGAACTTAAACATCTGCATTATTGCCCTACACCATAGGATTATGATCATGACATGCCAATAATTGGATGAAACGTTTATTAATAAGGTATGATTACTGTGTGTATTTTTATACCGAGGGCACATTTTGGCACTTAGACAATTGTTTACTTTGACCTATTACGGTCGATAGGGAATGTAAAATACTGGCATTTGTAAAATTAATATCAATTTTAAAGACTTTCAGTTTTCATGATAATCGCCATCGTCACCATTATCTGGTGCCAGGGGGCAATCAGCTCATGTAAAAGTGCATCTTGCCACCCCCTCCCCAAAGTGTCTGGATCCAACCTTGAGGTTATTATGCTATGAATATAATTATGGTGTACTTGGGTGCTACCGTAATTCGTTGTGTGCTTGCTTGTGCATAGCCAAGGAAAGTAAATGAACAAAGCATGTAAGCAAAATGGGAAAATAAATACAGGTATCAAGTGATACAAAAAATATGCGTTAAAACTGAGTAGTGCACAAAGGCGTGGGAGTGAACATACGTGGCCTGCAGACGCTTCTCCATATTAGGGGTCTTCCATTTTTGTCCTTTTCACAAACGTACAAAGCGTACTATTTTCATGCCCCCCTCCTCCCCTCTAAAAGAGGACAAAATGGATGAACAAAAAATGATTTAATGTGGAGTAGATGACCAGAGAATAGTAGTAGGAGGAAAAACAATGTTCATGAAAGGCCTTGACATTCGCGGTTTTGCGATTGCCCGGGACAAATTTCTTCTTTCAGTTCGGGCAAGTAAAAATTAAGGACAAATTGCCTGATGGACAGGTACTTTTTTCTTACAATAAAAATGTCTATATTCAATAATGTTATTGCACCCATGTGGAAGCGAAACACTTGCCTTGATGGTCTCTTGCACGAGAAACGAAAAGGAAAATGTTGGTAGGAAACGAAGAATTCGTCTCATCTTAACATACAATGAATTTATGATTCATTTTATCATGTAAAGGATTTATGATATGAGTGTCATTCTGCCACATGAAAAAGATATCACAAACTAGAATTTTGAGTACTTAATGCCACGAGTGCATACAGACTCAAAACACAGTGTCAACTAAAATACCTTGTGATTGATTCGCCATTCTGGATGGGAAAACTCCCTGTATAGGTCTATGAATTAATTTTAGGATTTTTTTAGCCCTGCAGGACGTATATTTTAACACTTTATGCTCAGTGTTTGCCCCCCGAAGGCTTGTAAAAAACTCGAACATACTTTGGTGTGACTTGAACCCACGAGTTCCTGCTTACTATAGTGCAGACGTCCTAACCACTCGACCACCGAGCTTGCCGGTGTCGACTGGCTGGTTCGAGTCACATGTATACATGTGCTATAGCAGCGCCGAACTGCGAACAACCATCTCTGTATATTCCGTCATAATTCATTGCCCGGTTTCGATGTATTTGCAATTTTACCACCTTGTCGCCACACTACAATAGGAAACTGGCTTCGCAGAGCACACCAAGATGCGCGTGCTCTTCCTTCAATGGTTTCCAGAGTAACAAGGATGTATCAAAGGGAAGAGGGAGGTGTTTTTTTTCATTTTTTGTTACTAGCAGCAAATTGGAGCGTAAAACGTAACGAAGAGATACTCAAAGGGTACCTCATCATGCGATGAGCCTTTGTTTTCATTTCTGTTGATGATATTACATTTTAAAGGTCACAACGCTCGTAACGGCTCAGCGCGCTAATATGAACGACAAAGGGATTTCTACTTGACTGTTGCTTCTTCATCCTTATGCTAGACTAGCCTCCAGTCAGTGATTGGCCAGAGATTGCTATTGATTTTCACGATCGCTTCTGCACACTACGCGACATGTTTTTTTCCCTCTCTCTTTTTCTCTTTTTCCCCGAGTACCAAAACGTTGTTACCTTCGAAGCCAATTACGGGTGATCGATTCTCCAATTATCTTCTTGTAAAAATTGTAATGGGACTTGCTACTAGATTTGAACGGAGCAGTATTGGTTCAGATCGTAAGGCACATTACTACATTATAGAGAACTGTTCCACTCCATCATTAGCCACACACGAGTATTACCATTATTCAAGTGGACGGACTGGTACATTTGGGTGAATGCATGTATTTCATAGTCATACGGACTTTCCATTGTAATATAATTCTTACAGTTAGCATTTGGATAATTAACCACAAATTATACACTGCCCACTCGTAAAGAAATCCCCATTCCAGTGACGGATACAGTTTGCATTTTTATCGAGGGCATTTTCCCAGCTAAACTTTAAGCTTAACTTGCATATGCCATTTATAGTATTCACAGTTCTCTACATGCACATGAAAATTGTGTTCGTCGATCCGATTACTGGGCTCACTCTTCATTTCGTCACTGTGTGCTCAACCTTCTAAAAAATGTCACCCAAGGTTCATTGCCCCAAACCCTATGATGTTTTCATCCCGGTCGATCGATATGATAAACTCCAATGGTTGCATTGCTGTTTTATTATAACACATCGACTTTAAATACCAGATCAGTGGCGTGGGTAGATGGAGGCAAGTGGACGGATTTTTTAGACCAAAATAAAGTCCTTGGTATATATTTGTTTATCAAATATGAGCACCAAAACCCTGAAATAACAGACTTGAGAAAGGCTTTCGGTATTTTTCTCCCCCCCCCCAACATCATGTTGAATGAGCCCGAAGCTGCATTCACTTTTAAATTTGCCCCACCTCCAGACACCAAAAGCTGGATACGCCGCTGGATCAGATCAATTAAACATTCTCAACCATTACTGCGTTGTGCCATCGCTTCATGGTGCAAACGACATCGTAGCTTAACAGCTGCATGTCAATTTCCCCGAGCCTCGTCATGCATGAGAAGACAACCTTCATAATCCTCCACCGTACAATTAAGCTCACTTTGTGCAACGCGTATTGACAAGATGATGCCAACAGGGCTACTCGCCTTCGCTGTTGCTGCTTCAAATACAATGTTTTCTGGTGAGTGGTGGTTAAATTAACGTCTATATTTTTCAATGTTTGGGATGAGCTTGATCATAGGCAGCAAGGTATGAGACGGAGAGAACCCCCCCCCCTNAGCAATAGTCTGGAATGTGTATAGGGATTGGACATGTTGGGGGGGTACCCCTCGGTCTCATTTCTTGCTGGGTATTGCATGTGAGCGTATATTAGGCTTCTCTCGAGAAGGCAGTAAAGAAATTTTTACAATCTCTTCACTGCCTCACCGTCCCTGTTTACCTAATGTCAAGGAGACAGCCTGCACTAGATGTAACGAAGGAAAGTAGTTACATTGCTTTTTTCTTCGCTTTTCTCCAGACAAAACAGGATACAAGAAAGCTTTAATCATGTACTATTACAAAGTTAGCAACTGACATCTTAGCCGCATACCCGACTGAGAACTTAATACGGTATATCTTTCGAAAAAGAAATCGAGAAACTGTTTCTGGACCCCCGAGGTTTATAGCCTTCTTCATTTTAACTCTAGAAACTACACCCCACTGTTTGAAATAGATATGATTGACGTACGTGAGTGTAGAAATTGCTCACCCCAGCTTACACACATATACCTGTATTACATACAAAGTGTGGACATTCTTTTGGTCTCCCGTGGTTAAGGAAACTTGAGAAAAAAGCTCCTTTTTCTTCAATTAGGATAACTCCTACGAGCTGGATTTTTGATGATGATTTCCTAGACTGTTGCTCTTCATTTTGCTATGGACAACCGTGACCCTAAAATGCCCCTGAAACTGGTTTTTCAGAGAGGGGAAACATTGTGTGGAAGTGTGCAAGTCCACACAACGCCATCGCACCCTACATTATGCGGACTTCTTTTGTGCAGAGTTCCACACCATGCCACGCCTACACAATCCAAATTACGCCCGTTAAAGTACATAAAATGTCCGATACTATTTGCCTTTACAAATTACAGCGTACCAACTAACAACAAGAGCTTGGCTTTCCGTAATATAACAACCAGTCAAACTAGTTTGAAAAATCTTGTCTAGGAAAAAATTGTAATGTTTTCTTGTATTAAACGAGATAAATTATCAATACAATGCTTCAATGATTCATTTTAATTGATCATTTTTCTGCAATTAGCCGAGGCCAGGGCCCATGTTTGTTACCAAGGACAAGAGCTTCACACAGACGGGGATGGTAACGAAGCTTACAAGTGGGTACTGACTGCCCAAGATCCGTGCGAGTGCAGCGATATCAGTCGACTCTTCGGCGGGATCAATACCCATCCCTGGGCCCTAAAGGGTCATGATCCCAGTACTGGAACATTGGACAACTACCAGCAGCACAAATGCCCACTTGAACCAAGTAAGAGCTAGCTTATGACCCTTTTGCTCAGCAGTACTCGACTGAAACATTGGCATAGTATTGGCATTATTGGTAGAAAATACTGTTTGCGTGTGTGACCAGAAGGGTTGAAGAATCTATAGCCCGGACAAAATTGTTGGGACACTTGTCGATAGCCATACCCTTTGCAGGGCCCCCACTCCCCTGGTCCAGCTGGAGCATTGAGACCCAACTATGAGAGGGGGCCGGGGTGGGGGTCCAACCAGACTTGGCCAGGATTGTCAGAATTGGTTCGTAGTTGTGTATGTGCCTATATATACCATGTGGTTTAGCGTGTGCATTCCGGCGTTGTTCGTGGAAAACATAAAAAATGGCGACCGGCGGTTGAATCATAGAGGATATCGCCTAACTTGGACAAATCGTACAAGTAAAAGAAAAGGAAGATAGGTAGCAGTGTTGTATTGTGTTCGACCATCACAATTGTTTCGCAGGATTTCATATACAGGGTTCATCATGGTATTTCGGCCCAAAGCGGTCCAAAATGATGCGTTCTGAATTTGAAAGGCCCTTTCTGGTACAGAAATAACTAACAATCCTGTGTGATATTTCTCATTTCGTCTTTCCGGTATTCATCAAAAGCCCAAAAAGAAAGCAAAGGAGAGACTCCAATTCTTGAATGATTTGTTGCGGCTCACCGTTCTTATTGTGTTATGTATATCGCGCACGCGCCGCGTTTTTCAGGGCATGCTGTTCGGTGAAAAAGGAGAAATGCAATCATCACAATTTTGTCTTTGGTCAACATATTATTCACTAGTAGCTTAGTGTTCCTAAGGCTTCAGCTTGGTAACACTTTAATGTATATAAAGTTGAGATAGATCTCCTTAAATTTTATTGTTCCTATCGACGATATCCAAAGATGTAAAAGTTAGCAGTACTTCGCCGGATACACATAATAGGCACGTATGAACTCACGTGTCTAACTTGGTTCATAGTTGTGTCGGTCTATATGCCTGTATATACCATGTGGTTTTGCGTGTGCTTTCCGGCCGTGTTAAACATAAATGGCAGCTGCCCCCATGTTAGACTTGGCTCAAGTCGGGATCTTCCGTGACGTCTGTGTTTATGCTTTTGATATGGAAGCTGCGTGTTGTTACTTGCTTCGCGCCCTCTTGTGTCCACTTGTGTGAGTTCAGGAATCCGGATATGGCGAATCTGCCAGCCGTTTGTGCACAGCGAATCAGCTCATCTACCAAAACAGGTAGTAGCCAATCAAATTGCTGGACTTGTTTTCACATCATAGTCGTTCATACCTCTATTGTAATGTGAGTCTACAAGTCTTAGTACTTTAATTGGTGGAAATTCCGGACACATTATGGAAGGTCGTGTCGTTCATATGCAATTATGAATAACTACGTAGGCCTATCACTGACCGGGGAGGTATGATTAGCTTATCTGTCAAGGCGGGTTTACTGACTGGTGACACACGTTGTAAAATCTTTGACCTTAACGACGGAAAAGCTACCAAATGAGGGCGCCTTATAGGAAGTTATGCGAGCGGCCGAGCTCGACGACTATGTACAGTGTATGTGACGGGATGGCTGACTGGGGAAGAGCAACTAAGTCCGACTTGATTCAAGTCTACCCCTTTGTCCAATGAGACACCATAGAGGCACCACACAAGCGTGAGCGTTCTGTGCATGCGTCTATTTTGGCAAATCAATACAGCTGCCTTTCCATAAGCACGGTTTTTGGTCCTTCGCGTACACAGGATGCATTTGCCACGTTTCACTCCTGTATACAGTATCACTCCCCTCGACCAACAGAAAGGAACAGGAAATGCACGGGAAACGTGTTTATATGGAAAAAGGCACCTTGATGGTAGAAGTTTTATTGCGCGTTTACCATCTTCCCGGGAGTGTGGTTTAATCACAGCTACGGCATCTGCTGTGGTTGTCAAGCTTAATTTGATCAGGCTATAGCATGGAGTTGAAGTGCTCCCTTGTCGGCCAAGGAGACAAGCTTCTGGGAAGTATTTCAACCAAGCTTGGGCACGCGCTCGGTCCCCACGCGGACACTGTCCATTCAAATGCGCACAGTTTCATGAAAGCTTTTTTCGCGCTATATTCCAAATAGCAACCGCTGTCCTTGCCGCATGCAACGTTGTGACGATCAGCGTGGGGTCTCACGAGAAGTCATCGCTCCTCTCCATCACTTTGAACGACATGTCCGTCTGGGAACTAGAGTTCAATGTATCACCACAAGGAAGCGCCACGCAGATCACCAAGGAAATAATCCGTTTTTGGCAGTCCGGAATGGCAGCTACTCCCGCAGATTACAGAATCGGTAAGCTTAAATTCAGTTCTCTTCTTGTGATCTGACAAAAGATCCATACTAAAGTATTACGCCAAAGTGAATATCAATATGGAAAATAACCGGTGTCAGTTTCAGTTGTGGAAAATTATTTGTTTAAATCAAGACAATATAAGGGTTCGAACATTTCCAAGTAATTTCACCATCGAAGGATCCGACCTTGGCTGTTTTTCCGGTTTGGTTTATAGGTTTACATGATTCTCAAATGTTGCCTGAGATACGAGTTTATAATTATTCCCAGAAATGTATCATACGTTATCTGAAGTAGTCCTGAGGTCTAGTGTTCCACCCTTTCAAACCCCGTCCTTGGAGTAAAACTTCACTTGACACTTCCTATCAACACAAAACGCTCATACGGCGGTACAATCCATTTAAGGCTAGAAAACAGTTGAACAACAATTAGAACAAAAATAGGTTCTGCCCAACATTGTACGAATTGTTTGGATACCTGAAGACAAACATTCACCAACCAAGCAGTAATCAACAGACCGTTCACAACCTTCAAACCAAGCGCACATTTTATTGGGGCTCTATTTGAAAATTTGATCACGATTGCAGAGTTCTCCCCAAACGCAGTCGAAATACTCAAGGAAGGAGCTCAAGCAAAGCGTGTTGATCTCATTTATGTGAACTGGTCGAACAAGCACTCCGTGGCCTTGGGCGGAGACCAACTGATCTTTGACGGAACATCTTATCCTACAAATCTCATCGTCAACTTTGAAGGCATCCGCTTCGCCCAGTTGGAGTCTGATTCGGGTGTTGGGGCGACCTGGATTTTCTTCAATGTTCCCTGCAGCTGGCAATGAACCTCTGATCATTAGAACCAGTAAAAAGTGATCGATTTAAATTATTTGTAACTTCAACTTCAAAAAGTCATTCAACCATACCGCCAAGCTTTGACTGTGGTATTCAAGGGCTCATCCAGAATCAAATTATCTGAGGGGCACACTTTTTTGGATGGTTGCAAAATTAGAATTGTTTATATTACCTTTCATAGCCCTCTTAGGGATGAAGTACGGTATGATACAATACGGTGAGGCACAGTCTGGTGCCGTAGTAAGAACACCAGCAACTATTCGTTGCAACAGAGACAAACTAATTATGTCACAGTCATTAATGTATGCATAGCAAACGACCACCCCCTTTCATTTACCTGCGCCGGAGTGACTGCGTTTGATTTGACACTCGCGTGACTAATCCTGCTTGAGCCATGGGCCCTCCGAACCGGTTCCTTCGGGGAAGATCTGCAGAATACAATGCAAAAACGTGGTGGCGTTTTTCGAACGCTGCGAAGAGAACTTGACACTGTTGTAAAAAGTTCAGAAAATGGTTAAGTGTACTCGTAAACTGGCTGAACTTAACTAAGTTCTGTGAAAAAAAGACTACAAGTGTTGCTTTTAATTTTTTCGAGTCATTTCCCAAATTTAACTGATGTGTGACATCTTGACCTGGTCGCAGCATTTCGAGTGATCCGAAATGGTTTGTTTATTACCCAATAATGCAAGGCACTTCGAAACGGAGCCTTTTTAATGTCATCAAAAATAATAAAGATGCATGCCGGCCAACACCACTGCATTTAAATAATCTGTAATGTTTATCCTGTAATAAATACATAATGTTGATTGTTACAGGAGATTATTTATTCATGTATAATAGCAATAAATTTATTTAAGTCGCATTGTCTTAAAGTGAAAGAATAGGTAGGACACTTTATAGCCTGTGTACTTAAAATGCTTTGCACCACCACACAGTGTTTGTGTTAAGAAGCGTATTGGCTAAGATTAGTTATCATTTTGTTTTTGCAACATGTTACTTTAGTAGAAGCCTCCATGGACTATCACCAGCCGTAAAATTTGGCACCGCGTATTGGTTATGTGCCTTTGGGAATTGAATGTAAAAGAATTAAGGTTTAGGCCTATCCGTGTTTCATCTGGATATCGGCCTCGAGCAGAAGCATTCCCTCATCGGTTGAAAAGAGCCACGTTGGTCGGGACTGTTCAATTTGTTGGTAGCGATGCAACCGTGACGTGTGCATTTTCTAGTTGTTCGTGAACCAGCGACGTTTAGTTCCGACCAAAGGAGCCTCCGTTGCTAAGAAAATAGCACCCCCTCTTGGTCCAGTTCGAGGCCCATAGTTACTGCGTAAATTTTTTTTAGCTTCAGCAGAAATAAACAGAATTTTTTAGGCTTACAAAATGAGTCTTGAAAATTGTTTTTCTATACATGTATTTGTAAGGAAAAACTAAAATCAAATGTAAAAGATTTGATGTTACACATTGCTGATTATTAATACGCCTGTATAGTATGATGACGTCACGTTTTGCTTGCACGTGCACTATCCAATGTTAGTTACGGACACGATCCACCAAGCCCTAGATGAAAGCACACATGTATAAACTAAGTGTGACACTTTTAGATCTGTTTGTCTTGTTGCATGTGTTGTGAATAAAATTGACTGGATCATTGGATTGCAAACCATTTTCTAGTGCCAGCTCATGCCTCATTTTGAATACTTTCCAATAATTATATTTGGCCTACAAGAGACAGTTTTGGGTTATTCTGAGAATGACGTATTCTTAGTTTCTTGTATGTAGATTTTATCAATGGGGGACCCAAATCGGCCTGGAAAGCGCTTGGACAAAGTCGATCTGGATAACTTTAATGAAATGTGTTTACCAATATCAAGTCGCACAGCATTGATGGAGACCTAAATAATCGTTCCCATGTATTGTTTCGAAACCAATGACTAGTTATCGATTCTCAGAGCGGTTACACTGTCCCGAGTGCATTATAGTGCGTACCAAACTGGGTCTCGAATACATTTATTGTTAATCATAATCTGTGTCGATTATCGATGAGCCAGTGAAGAATTGGGTATAAATAGTCTTCCCTCAAACGGCGAATCTTGCTGAAGAGTTGAGAGCTTAGATGGTGGAAGCAAGACCCGCTTTCTTCTTGCAGAGATGGGCTTTGTGTATCGAATGCCAGACTCCTTTTTGGTGAGTTTACTTGTTTCGCATATCAGGTGAATTAGTTTTAAAATTGCAGATGTTTTTATTTACACCTATCTTCCTGTTTACTGATCGTAAATTGACATCATTAACAACTCCTTCAGGTATTTAATTGACGAAGGGTACATATTTTGCGTCGGCCATTGCAGACATAATGTGAAAACACTTATTTCAAATTGCTCGCTATCAGAGACAAGAAACCAGAAATATCATTTCAGATTTGCTCTTTTTGTCTAACGCTCTTGTGTGCAAGGCTCTTCTTTTTGCCTTCCACAGCTCTCTGCGTTGTTTCTCACAGCTATTCTCTGGAACACCCAACAACCTTTGTGCGCCGTCGTTGTGAGACCAGACGAAGTACTGACCAGCGTGCTGTCTGCGTTGGACTCGGGGGTTGGGTCGGCCGACGAATCGTCTGAGCTTCTGGTGCAACTGAGGTCAATATTAGAATATGACTTTAGGAATTCAAAGCCTGCTCTCCTGGAGGATTATGTGAAAGTGAGTGAAGTGTAATCCCCTTTGGTGTTCTTTGTGTAATTCATGCAACACTCCCTCAATATTAAGTATTAAAGTGACTATATTTCTGACCGACTTGACCACATTATACCTTTGGGGGTTTCAAACACATTTTTTTAAAGTACCTTTGATTTTCATTTCAAATATGAATTATTCCAGCTTACATTGTTCAGGAATCTCAACTTAACTGCACGTTAGATCCGAGTTGAAAAGCACGGTACTGATCATGAGGAGAATATCGTGTTAATCACTAAAACCAGTCAATGTATTAATGGTTGAAATAGAGACAAAGATAGCCATAATACCTCCGTCATCTGTTGTATCAACAGCTTCTTGTTGACGTCCTTCAGAGTATATCGTCATATTCTGTTGCTAAGGAAATGGTGAGTTTGTAAAGGCCAAATTGCTTTCAGTGGTCAGTTGTTTTGAATCTTGAAAATATAGTAGGATGTTGGTTCGTTGAAGTTATGTGGGTGGCGCGGATTGTAGCCTAAGTAGACGAATTCTGCACGCTGTTTTTCCTTTGGTAACAACGAGCTCTTCCAGGCTGTTTAGAAAATAACTTCCCTCTTCACCTTGCTTATGATACCCAAGAAATGCAATCACGATCCTTTATATTGCCTCTGGAGCTATCCCATACAATACGTCCAACCTCAACCTCGACCAACCTGTAAACCCTAACCTTGACATACAATGACTGTGAAATTTACGACAAATAGAACACAGTGTCTCGTGACGTCATTTGCTTTATTCTTTGCCCAGACACGTGACTTAGTCTTTGATTATGCGACATCCATTCTGGAGATTGCCAAGAAAATCGCAAGGGCGTGGCCAGAGGGATCATCGATGCACATGCACCAGGATGACAGAGGTGAACAGAAATTGGTCAATGTCAAACTTAGACAGACCCGACGATAAAGCTGATGTATTTTTCCCTATTTCCCCATTGATCTTTGACAGCACCGAAATCCAAGTCTTGAGTACATTTTTAACGTTTTATTATTTTATTTCAGTGGAATTTTCCTATTTTATACAGATGTGTTTTTGAGAAATCGGGATGGACTAACAAAGCTCGAGAAGGATGTCTTAAGCAACACGAATGCTTTCATGCATTTCGATCAGAAGGTCGTGACCCCGCCAATTGTTCTCGTCGAAAGTACATCTGGAGAGTTTCTGGGCTACAGCGCAGGTGCAGTGAACTTTAACACACTTTGGCTTGTTTCACTTCTGGGTGTCTCTCAGATATTAAACCAGATTTTCTGCCAGATTATAAAATGAGAATTTAAATGGCTAAGGTATTGTAATCTAAAGTTTGAAAATAAAGGTTTTGATTAGAAACAGGACATACGGAACTGAAAACGTAATATCCTTTAAATGAAGATCGTGAAGTACACCGTACCCAACAAAATTAATGTCTGCAAACTCATCAATTTTCTGATTTGACTTATGAATCGGAGAATTAAATTTCCAGAGTTTCTTGAGCTGTTTTTGCTTCATGTTGGCATGTTTTTTTGACACCTGTCTCTCAGAATTTGACTTTACGACCGATTATGAGTACAGCGAATTTGCGAGTGAACGGACCTTGAATTTCAATGCCACGAGGTGAGATAAACAACACATGTAATTGCCAGCACTCATATCACTGGTAAAATTACCTTGTTCGTTCATTTTAATTTTACTTTTAGAGAATCGCGCTGTACCATAGGGAAGGTTACACTTGGAAAAGCCAATTGCTACACGTCTCTAAATGCGGTCGGGGTTGCACATTTACGTCTGGAGGAAACAGTTCAAGCAGCAGCTGCTAAGTGGCTAGTGGTTCAGTCGAAAGGCTGAAGTTTATAATGAGCCACGGCCGGTAATATACCGGTAATTATACAAAGGCTGTCAGCCAACACTGAGACTGCATTCAAAGACTTTATTGCATTGTATGTCCAACTGGCCTTCATGTAACCATATGTGCATTATCATTGCAGCGATGTTCAGATTGAAGAGCTAATCAACAAGGATATTCTCCTTCGGTACTCAGTACCTTCGGCTGACCTGTCGTCCAGCAGAGGCGTCAATGTATCTCGTAGAGAGGTCAGTATTATTCCTCGAGCTCATAGTTTTTAAGTAGTCATCGCGAATGTAAAGTTACATAATTATAGATCATAGGATCTAACATGTTTGTGGAAATATACGAAACCATTAGGTCTACTTTTCCTTTGACAAATAAACACTTCACGGCTGTAAACATCGCGTTAACTATGAAATGAATAAATTGTAACAGAACTGATTTTTTCATTCAGGAGTTGATGATTAAAGAGGGTGATAATTTCACCATCGTTTGGGCGTCGTCGACTGCCGCATGTACATCCATAAGTGACACGCACACACGGTATGTTATCTGAAGTCATCTAACCTCAGAGGGTTAAACTTTTGTTCCTGCCTCCGGGTTATGTACTTATTTGTAGTGTCATACGGAACTTGTCACACTTACATCTGTAGAGCCTCTCTAAAATGATACACCTACATACTCGCAGTAGGCCTAACTTTTTAGGGGAGGGGCTTCGTAAAATCGTGGCTGTTTTACTTTTCCTTCCATCTTGGTGTTCTTTGTTTCATTTTTCGTCCTGCAACCGAAACCAGAACAAGTTGCAAAATTGTGCACTACGAAGGCTGGAGTTCCCCATGCGAGTGCAGTCACGTGGATGACGTAACCGTCTTCATCAAGGTAAGTCTACTATCTTCTAGTCAATCAAAAAACTAACAATAGCTGTTACTGCGCCCTCTATTTAACTTAATGTTTAAAACTCCTAACTTTCCTCTGTATTTTTTTCTGCAGGTTTGGAAAATCGGTATTTCCAGAGTGTTCAGATGGTCTTTGTCTTTAAGCTGCGGAGTGTCTGTTATCGCAATCATCATTGCTCTTGTCCTCCGTGGATATGCTAGGTAAAAGTTAAAGGAATGTCTAATTATAATGAACCAGTTCGGTATTCCAAAACAGTCAGGGTCATTTTGAGAACAACGCAAGCTGTTTACTATCATAAGCGCGGGGACTTAGTAACTTTTAATATTTCATTACAAATACAGAGCTAATAAACCAATTAAGGTTTTACAGCAGGCTATTTGTTACAGTGCAACCAGTGCATGAATTGAATGTTGTGTTTTTCCGATCATGTTTTTACTGTGTTCCGTTCATCGTTTTTATTCTGAGTATATATCAAACTAACCCGAAGGTAATGGAATCCTCTGAAAGTTTTAGCCTATCATTTGTTTGTCATTCCCGCGTAGACGTAACTCTGTCATTCAGAGAAGGCGTTCGCGAAGTTGGAAAACGCCTTCCCGTCTTACGCAACGGTATTTTGTTCAGGCCGTGGTATTTGTCAGAAAGCCCATCGTACTATTGTGAATCAAATCTCGCCAGTTGATGAAGAATAGGTCGCACTGTACAATCGGACACAATTAGAATCTTTGGGTGCATGTTGGGGTTTTCTTATGTGAGAGAGAGATAGAGAGTCAGAAGTCATTTTTGACGTGCTCGAGAAAGACAGGGGTTTGGAGAGTGACTGTGTGATGCAAGACCGGCTTTGACTCCTTAAGCATCAGAAATCTGAGCCAGCAAATTTAGCTTTGTTGTGGATCTGTTTGACCACTTTGGAAAAGGACAGAAAAATCCGTTTCCGTGAGAATTAGGCAAACTAGGGCCTACTAATTCCAGCCACATAGACGTCCCGGTCGGCATTAACGACGTCATGACAACAGTTGACCTCCCAAGACAGTTGTTCAGCAAAGTACCGTAAGTGTTGTAATATTGAAGATTTTCTTACTTTTGTACATCGAAGTAAATGCCTGCAGATGATAAAGTTTCGTCGTAATTGTAGGAAGACTATTAAGCTGATCATGGAGATCTAGGCTGATGACTTTCAGGAAGATCGAAAATTTACATTTGTGAAAATAAAGATAATGGGTAAGATTTGTGGTAATTTAGAATTGTAAAGATCGAGGTTGGAAAGGAAACAAACTGGAGTATGATTTGGCTAGTTCTTTAAAACTGTTAAGGTTTTGGGTTTATTTATTGTAAATGGCCTCTTGTTGAAACTGGTCCCACTGACTCTACCGATGACTGAGAAGAGTCCCTTATGTACTGTTAAGGAGCATATAGACTCTGAACTTGCTTTGCTTGACCGAGCTTTGGGTTGATCTACTGCGGTTTTGTTAGACGTTCAGAGGGCTACAGAAATTTCAACAGATGGTGGACCGATTAATTTTGCTATTTCAAAAACTAAAGTGGATATCTGATGGAACCTTTTTTTATGATTGATGTGATGATTCCAGAGTCACTTGATTGACTAATTGAGTATAATTGAGTTTTTATGACTTAATCACAGACCTGTAAATAATTAAATAATTCTGTAAGAAGTTCCCTTTCTAAAACCATATCGAGCTCGTGTTGTAAATATTGGAGTACAGAATATTGAAATTCTAGGAGACCGTTTGATCTTGGTATTTTGGTTGTCGGTGCATCCTATGGGATCCGGGGTAGCCATTCCTAATTGTGAATAGCCAAATGTCGGAGTGGTGACACTATTGGCTGCAGCATAATCAAACCATGCCCTCGGAGGTGATTCAAATGAAGCGGTTGGTTGATGAAATAACAGCATTTTCTATATACCTTGAGCAGAAGCATGCCCTCAACGGTTGAAAAGAGTCGCGCTGATCGGGTTCGTTTTGTTGGTAGCGACGCGCACGCAACGCGTGAATTTCATAGTTGTTCGTGAACCAGTGAAGTAAAGTTCCTACCAAAGGAGCCTCCATTGCAAGAAAAATCTGCCTTCTGTTGGTCCTACTCAGGGTTCATTAATATGAAGACTTGACATTTAAATTTCATCTATAAAAATACCTCTTTGGCCTTGTGTGTTAATACCTCAACCAGACTTATAGCTACTTCAACAAAAATGTTATTTTCTCTGACCTCTTCTTTTTAGATGCCTATGGAAGACGGATACAGACCTTGCTACCACCATGGTTCTTGTTGCCATAGCAATGACTGATATAAGTCTGCTTCTTTCTGTGCAGGATATTAAGAGTGAAGTAAGTTGTGATAGAGTTTTGCATATTTCATTATTTTTACTTAATTGGCTGACAACTAATTTCTTCTCAAAAGCACGAAACTCCGTTTGAGTGTGTCTTCCCGTCATGTTTCGTCCTCCTTGCTCCTGCACTTTTGGGCGTTTTTGATCAAAAGGTTCCCCCTACAATTATTTTCTTTCTCTATTTCGCCATCAGATTTTCTGCAGGGCTAATGGCATCGCCCTGCATTTTTTCTACACGTCAGTTTGTTCTTGGATGTTTGTTCGAGGGTTATTACTCCACCGCCAATCACACGAGCCGCTACAAATTGCTACAGGGTCACTTCCACATCAGCGAATCAGTTTTCTGATTGGATTAGGCATTCCTTCAGTCGTAGTCTTTGTTTCCACCATTGCCTTGTTTTCTCAGTACACGTCCGAGTTGGGGTAATTAATGGTTCCCGTTTTTTCTTTCATTGAACATGTATCAGCAATATTATTGACCTAAACCAGAATGAGCAATTACACACATGTTAAGTATTAGCATAAACCTTTGAGGGATATAATTTTTGAAATTTTGCAATAATTTCAGGTGTGTGGCTGACTTCAAGAAAAATCTTTTATGGGCGTTCCTGGTAGCACCTATTCTGATTACAACAGTAAGCCGGTTGTACCTTTTTCAAGTTGTTTGTGTTGTCAACTGAACATATTAAATCCTTCCCAAATTATTGAAATTGGGAAAATAAAAAAATTATGTGCTTTAGACAAACACAGAAAACTCGAGAAATTTGCTATTCTGTTCTCTTTAGCTGGTTCTCGGCCTCTTTCTCTACGTTGTTAAGTCTGTATCAATCAACAAGATGTCTGCACTGAATACCAAGGAAATGAAGTGAGTATAGTTTTACTTCCTCTGTTTTCACGCTGGAACATAACGAGTGTGCATTATTCCTAATTTCTACCCTTTTCTCCCCCCCCCCAAAAAAAACGCAATCTTTTCAAAAGTGCATGCCTGGCCGTTCTCACCTCGGTAGCATTGATACTGATGCCTCCATCGTTAGCTTCACCCACTGGTAAACTAACAGCCGCTCAATGGATCTTCGCCGTCATTAACTCACTCCAGGGCCTGTGCATGTTGTCTCTGTGCTGTTTCTGGGACTCGAAGGTGAATTGCTAGCTGTCGCTATTATTTTTCCGGCTGGTCTCTTCAGTAGTAAATTTATCAAGTATTTGGGCTGACCAGGATTGCAATTTTAATTTTCATTCATCGAAGCTTAATTTTAAAGCAATATCGAACACTATAGAACCACTCCGCCTCAATATTATAAGTGATTACATTTTTCTCTTAGGTTCGCAAAGCACTTGCTCATCGTGTAGGTCAAAGCAGGACACCCGATGAGAAACTAAAAATGTCTACACACAAGGTAAAATCTCCGAAATCGTCTCCGACCACGGAAATGCCCGTGGGTCGTGGAGCTTCGTACATCGAGGCGGACTTCACCCCTGTCGTGCCGGGCCCAGGAGCCCTTCATCACGGCCATGATTCGCCTACCATTTCCATGGAAAATGACGGCTTTGAAGGTATGTACAATTGCTGGCCAATTCAACAAATCTTTGTCGGCTAGCATAAACAACGAAAATTGCCTGTTAAAGTACAAGGGTAGGCCTAAACAATTCAAAATTATTTGATAGTTTTTAGAATTTTTACTAGCTGTGCTTGTACTTCCATTGGTTTTTAAATCAGTGGTGTTGCATTGATTTATGATGATAACATTTCATTTTAGATTGTCCTGAAATCGACTTGCGTGTACTGTCTCCGTCACCAACACCTGACCCCACCATGCGACCCGTGAGCACAAACCATGAGTTTATACAGCTTTTTGATTTCGAGGGTATACATTTTCACGATGCAAAAAAGTTAAACGCATGTGCAGTGCGCTCGTTTTATTTACATGGACGTTCTCAAGAAATAAACAAAATACCTTGTGTGAGACGAGAAACAGTTCCTACAATGACAAAAACAGGGGTACAAGAAGTTGTAACATCTTTTGATAGGTTTCTGCGATGTCAGACCTGACCCTTCAAGATCTCCCTGGTATGGTGTTCACCAACGAATCTGAATTCGTGAGAGAGGTAAGGTTAATGGTGAAATACTGTTCTTAAATTGATCCCTCAAGACAACGATATAAGACACCAGAGTCCACAAAAACCATCTGCTGATCAGAATAAGAGAAACAGAAATAGAGCCAGTGAATTTGGGAGAACTTTTCATTTCCCGTCGTTCCAAAACTGAGCGTGTAAAAAGCCCCCCTGAGTTATCACCAACCCTATATAGAAATGCCACAAAAGGGTTTTATGCTCAAAGGTATTTCCAATTGTTTATACCCCTTATTTATGCCCTCCCCTGGTTCTGGGGCCCCCTTGAAGTTTAGTTTATCCATGGAGGTAGGAGGTACCTCCATGATTTATCAATGACTTGTACCTACCCTGTTTTTCCAAGGTGAAGACCACCCATCGCGTGTTTGTCAAGGGAAAGTGGCACGTTGAGCAAGATGAGAAGGTAATTAGAAAAGTATACCGACGTCCTCGATCCAACGCAGAAACATCCACAGTCTAAACTACTGTACAAAATATCACCAAGTATCGTCTAATGTCAGGGCGAAAGGGGAACTAGGGATTACAGAGTTTGTTTAAAGCTGCAGATTTCATTTCAGTCCAACCACACACTGATGTCAATGATACAAGAAATAGGATAGCCTACTATAACATAATTCCGTACAAATAATGGGGATGATTGTATTTGCAAGAACAAACAAACAGGCCAGGTAAAGTAGAATTTTCACTTGAAATATGAAGTCAGCAGAAATCGAACGTTCAGGAATTGTGGGCAGGCAATGTTTCGAGTAGGTTCTAAAAGTGTGATTTTAATTGCTAAATAGTTTAGGTGATTTAGGAGTTGTAATAATCAGATTGTTCAAATCTGAAACTGGAGAAGTTTGCTATTCATGTGACAGTAGGCTTAAAGAACAAATTTTAAAACTGATAAAAAAATCCACCAAAACCAAACATTAAATATCTATATCCTGAACATTGCCTACATTTTCATAGGGTACAACTTGACTCTGAAAGTTGAGAACATTGTGTGTATTTAAAATATTGTTTATAACATTTCATTTCATTCATTTCACTTATTTCATTTTTCGGGATCAACAATTCACGGAATACAATAACAAAGTTTACAAGAGAGAGAGAAAATACACAAGACATACAAAAGACAAACAAAATTTAACCAGCTCCCGCTGGATTACCCAAAAGAAACATGGTTTCTGTCGAGGGGCTCTCCAACTTAAACAGGAAACAATACTAGAACAATAATAAATATAGATCGATACATAAATAGATAAGAACAGGGCAGTAATATAAATTATAAATTATAACTCATCATAACTTATAGCTTAAATAAAGAAATGATATGGAAAAAAATGTTTATCCAACTTATTTTGTAGAGCTGTACTTGTATATTAACATTATTATGAAAAACAAACTAACCCCCATCAAAAACAAAGACAAAACATTGGAGTAAACAGTATTTAACAACGATATATGTATTAATGTATTAACCCCAGAAATAATACAGAAATGTAGTTAAAAATCCCAACATTTAAGAGTCAACTCTTTCAAAAAAGTTTCCCGTAACTGGTAAAATAGCCTATAGGTTTTGGCTAATTTTTGGGTCGGTCTTTTTGACGTACGGCGACGGCACTTGTGCCGTGGGTGCAGACCACTAATTCAAGTGAGAATTTTTGACCAGCTCATTAGCATTAAAAGTGCCCCCCCCCACAGTATCTTTTGAAAAAGGAGATTGTTTGGCCCCCAAAATGGTAAGATTGTGTAAATCGTTGCCAGGATCAACTCCCTGGGTCTTTGAGCTTTTATATGAGAGCAGAAGGGCTAAAAACTACGATTGAAAAATGGTCCTAAGTGCCCGAGAAAGTTGAGAGTTGCCACTTGAAAAGGCATTCAGACTTCGGAAAAATCACTTTTTGGGGGTGATTTTGTTTTGTGGGAATAATTAAAAATGTAATTGGTTAACCCACAAAAAAATTGAAAAGAAACTGAAAGATACGTGACCAGAC